AAGAAATAACACACGCAAGAATTCATTGCAAGTACTGCTGGTAGGAATGTGGAGAAGAATGAGAACGTACGGTTGAAGAGGGCAGGCACACCCAAAGCGCCGACATGGTATCTTGAGGGAGGAATCGCATCTCCCACCATGAGCGGCAAAGCAGAGGCGGCCTGTGCAAATATCAATAACTAGCCAGAACACGTCAATGAGATCCACTTATAAAAAATTGGGTTAACGGGACCTGCCCGCCTCGGGGGATCAGTCCGAGACGGACAGGTACCGGTTGGTCGACCAGCCCATGCTGATCGACCCAATACGCTCCCCTGGTAAAGAAGAGCGCGACCTCCCATCCTGCCACCCTCCCCCGGGGAACGAAGGGGAGGCGCTCATATCGCCCCTTATATATTGTGCATACGTGTTTAGCGCCCAACCGTTGTGCCTTCCACCCTCCCCCGGGGCGATGTAGGGGAGGTACGCTGGTATCAATCCTTATGCGGCATGTGCCTCAGGGTGTGAAGGGTGGGTGGGGAGATGAGACGAGAGGACAAGTTGAGCGCCAGGGGGGTGGGAGGCACTGAAATTGCCCCTTGTATGTTGTGCATATGTGTATAGCGCCCATCCGTTGTGCCTTCCACCCTCCCCCGGGGCGATGAAGGGGAGGTGCGCTGCTATCAATCCGTATGTGGCATGTGCCTCAGGGTGTGAAGGGCGTGGGGTGGGGGGGAATGAGACGAGGGGACAAGTTGAGTGCGCGCCAGGGGGGTTTATGTAGGATTTTCGGAGTGCACGAGCCATGGTTCGTGCTGATGGAGGTAGAGCGGAAAAGCGGACCCATTGTTTTTTGTGGTTTCCGGCGAGTGATAAAGACGTCGCGACCCTGGATACGGCGGTGTTTAGAGAACTGCCGTTGGACATAGACTATTTCTCGTACCAGGCACTCCTAATGTGGTTGTGTTGTCAAGCACTGACGAACTGGCCATATTGTCTTCTCCGTTCAGCACAAAAATGTCAAAGCCAATCTTGAGGTCACAAAAATCCAATAAAAGCACAAAAATGCGACCGACGACTTCCCGCCAACAATAGAAGATCCTTGGGCAATGCCGCACCTTCATCCAGCTGAACGACTCTGCTTGCTGCACGAGCTAGCTAGCTTTCTTGGGTGCATTGATAAGGTCGCCTCAGACTGGCAAGTATCCACAGCTAATATCGTGGCAGGACGCTCCAAGAATCCGTTGTCCTGCCTTCTAACCACTTGGAAGGATCGCATGCGTGCTCGGTCCACCATCCGTGGGCACGCTCCTCAGCTGAGGCCTGGGCTTGGCATATGGCTGATCAGAGTCTTGCGTATCTTAGTGATCCCTGTAATCCATCAAGTCCCTACATGAAGGGAGAAGAAACCCGGCCAGCACCTTTCGGGTTGCTCTCTTCTCTTTACCGGCCGGTGGAAGGCCAGCGCGCTAAGCGAGGCAAGTCATCCTCCAGCATCCACATTCCGAGTTCCAAGTTTCGATCCATTCACATACCACAAACCACAGTCCGGCCCCACAAACCATCCAAAGCCTGAACAAAGGCGCGTGTTCCGGGTCCGTCCTGGACCTTTGGCCCTGTCGGTACTGTGCCGATCCTCGTTTCAGCTCAGCCTGGTAGGCGACGACAAGCGATGCCAGCCATAAGCCCGTACATACTCAAGCGCACAACACATCCCGCGCATGTTCGACGGCGTGATGGACAATGGTCGTCAGAGTCACCCGTACAAAGACAAAGACTGAAGAGCTCGCCGAAGAAGCTGGCGAGGAACGCGTCCGATCCCGTGCTTGCACGTGCCTGATACGGTTACATTCCAGTGGAGAGTGGATGGGCGGACTGACTCTCGGTCAAATACAGGATCATGTTTCTCTACCGCGTTTGATGCATGTGAAGGACTCGGATAACAGCACTGGTATATCAAGCAAGCCAACGAGTTGGAGCAGCTCTGGGCAGCTTGATGCCAAGTTCCGCTCAAGCCGGAGGCTCCAGATCACCGGGTTTGCACAACGGAGGTAAGCGCGCAACACCCAGTCAAGCAGTAACCGATCCAGTCAACGACCATCCCGATCAAGCGATAACACCGACCAAGACGAGCGGTAGAACCCACCAAGCAGGGGGGAGAAATAGGCCAGCGCTAGCCTTTCTGGAAATGCCAGCGTTGTTCTCGGCGGGTGGGTTCCTACGTGTCTTCCTCTCGGACGGGGGTGGTCCGACAGGAACGGAACACGCGGTGTTGGGCTGTTGCTGTGGGCAGTACGGTACGGCTGTAAGATGTAGATGGTGCGGAGAGGAAGATGGGGTGCCTTCCTGCTCTACCTTCGGAGTTAAGCTTCGCAAGTGATTGAGTTGCGGTGGTTGGTTCCGGGGTTATTGGGAGGCGAGTTACGATCAGCGGTCTATTCTCGACCGTACGAGACATTAATAGACAGAAGTATATACCATAGAGGCTTGCATTAGTGTAATATAATTAGATGCCAGCTAATGAAACGGTGTAAAAATAAGTTGCTGCGTATGACGTAATGCATTCATCAATGACAAATTTCCTTTTATGGCCAAGGATGATCCATAACGAGCGTCATCGCTGGCGTTCGGCGCTGTTCTTCCGGCCGATCATCCACTGGAATGTATGCCCGACACTTTGGGTGTTCAAACCATGCAAGAGAAGGCGGCCTCATCTTGCTTTCTGACCACCACCAACTAGTGCATGCCAATGGCACTCACCGTCCTCCTCCCCCTCTTGACATTGCTAGTGTCCACTACTGCCCGGCCACAACCACAAGCAGAGGCAACAGCTACTTACCTCGCTACTGCTTCCGGGTCTATCCTACCCTCTGGTGCTGCACCGACAAACACAGCAGCACCAAGCGGTACAGGTCAACCAACGAGGGATGGCACGGTGAACCAGTTCCAGATAGTAGGCAACTCGGGGGTCAGCGCACAGCAGGTCTGTCCCTCCACTCCACTCCACATGTCCTCGAGCTTACGAGAAATAGATGTTCCTCGGCACGCTCAACAAGGTGTACATCCTTGACAAGACGGAGGAGAACCTTCAGTTGCAGGTAGACGGCTTCCCCGCATGGGGGTCAGAGTACGATCTCGCGACGGACACCGTGCGGGGAATGTTCGTGCTCAGTAACACTTTCTGTGCCGGTGCGCTGTTTCTTTTTGAGAAGCACTCCGAATCTGACTCGAGCAGCGGGCGCGTCCCTTGGGAACGGATCTTGGGTCAACTTCGGGGGCAACCAGGCTGTAACTTGGGGTGGGCTTACTGCTGCTTCCCAGACGGGAGGAGGGCCGTACGATGATTGGGATGGGGGGCAGGCGGTGCGCTTATTAGACCCGTGCGATGATGGCACTTGCGAGTGGGTAAATTTGGCCCCGATGACGACGAGAAGGTGGTACCCTTCTGTCGAGCCGTTGGAGGACGGGAGTGTCATCGTTGTGCGTCGCGTCTTGCATCTTCCTTTCTTCAGGGAGCGCTGACAATTTTTTCTTCAGCTGGGAGGCGACGAATGGGGAGGATACGTAAACGACGCCTCGCAGAACAACCCCACGATCGAGTTCTTCCCCTCGCGCGGCGCCCCCATAGGTCTCAACATCCTGCTCAACTCCCTTCCGGCCAACCTCTACCCCCTCACATGGCTGCTCCCATCCGGCAACCTCCTGATCCAGACTAACTGGGCTGCAGAAATCTACGACTACAAAGCCAACGTCGAGTACCCCCTACCTAACATTCCTAATGCTGTGCGCACCTACCCCGGCTCGGGGGCGACGGCGATGCTGCCCCTCACACCGGCGAACAATTGGACCGCGACGGTGCTCTTCTGCGGAGGGACGAACTTAGAGCCCGACCAGTGGGTCACGAACTGGACGATAGCCGCTTACCCGGCAGACGAGTCCTGCGTCTCGATATCCCCCGATATCAGCAGTACATGGACGTACGACAGCACCCTCCCCGAAGGGCGTACGATGGGCCAGTTCATCATGCTCCCCGACAGCACGCTCTTCCTCACCAATGGAGGCGGGACTGGAACAGCAGGGTACGGCAACGACACATGGGCGATCGGTCATTCCTATGCCGATAACCCTGTCCTCACTCCGTTGGTGTACGACCCCCGACTCCCCGCTGGCAACCGTTGGTCCAGGCAAGGACTGGGCAGCTCGACAGTCCCGAGGATGTATCATTCCTCCGCCCTACTCCTGCCAGACGGGAGCGTCTTCGTCGCTGGCTCCAACCCCAATCCCGACTATACAGTCGGAGCAGGGGTCAAGTACCCAACAGAATATCGCACAGAACGCTTTTACCCATGGTACTACTCTTCCCGCAGGCCGGAACCGCAGGGTCTGCCATCGAACCTCTCCTACGGCGGGGAACCGTTCGACGTACAACTGTCCGCCCAGGATCTCCAGAACAACGGCATAGTCAACGCATCCGTCATCGTCATCCGCGGCGGGTTCTCGACGCACGCGATGAACATGGGCCAACGGTTCGTCCAGCTCAACTCTACATATACGGGCAACACCGACGGCTCGGGGACGCTGCACGTTTCCCAGCTCCCGCCGAATCCCGCGATCCTACCCCCGGGACCGGCGATGGTTTTCGTAACTGTGGGAGGTGTGCCCAGCTTGGGAGCGTTCGTGATGGTCGGATCGGGGATGGGCACACAGCAGGTGTTGCCCGCAGGGGCGTTGAAGGCGAGTAGCATGCCCCTGCCAGCGCCCAACACGACCGGGAGTGGAGGGGGGAATGTGGCTGTTTCGGCCGCGATGGGTGGGGGGGTCGAGCTGGGAGTCGGTCTGTTGGTGGTAGGGTTGGGGTTGGTGGCACTGATGCTGTAGATCTCGGACTCGCGCTCGCACTTTCTCATTTCACTTAGTTATCACGCTCTCAAGCACCTACGCGCTCAGGCTTACAGCACGTATAATCGCATCGTACACATCGTACGGCACACGGACTACGTAGACTCGCTTTCCTCTCGCTTTGTTCCCATTTTATTGTGTATCTCTTTGTGTGTTTATTGCCGTTTGTCAAGGACTCGAACTAATTTCTTCGTAATGTGGTGTTCTCGGTGGGTGCGACATTTTGTTGACGGTCGACGATCAAGGAGGGCTGGGGTTTGATTAGAGTGAGCACGGATAGGGACAGCAGTAGAAGAATGTAGAGAAGCGCGTAATGTGCCATAAGGTACCGGGTCATCGAGGGAGCTGATGAGGTGAAATGTCTAGAAGAGTAGATAGAGGTGTATTTTATGTAAGTGGCGAATAAGGACTTTCGGGGCTGTCAGCGTGATCTAACATAAAGGGCAAGAGACGTACGGGTAAGACTGGTCTTGCGAGGAGGGAGGTTTTGCGTATATGCTAGATGAGAAGAGTGGAGACCGAGCATGGATCGGCGTTTAGGCCCATAAGACTAGCAGTTCTACTGGGCCAGCATCATGATCGGAGTGGCGCGTTCAGGTCTGAGAGATGTGAAGAGTAGATCATGATGGATGTGTATGGGGATTGGAAGAGCTGGGCTCTGGCGGTTGATATGCGTGCAAGGCATGCGGTTGACGCATTCCCACTATTTTCGGATGCTGGAGAGCAGTCAATGGCCAGAACCCGAAAATCACTGCGGAAAGTTCAAGGCGTACTGCCAATGTTTACATATCCCTATCGACGAGCACTAGCGAAAGCTTGGCATAATGGTTTCCATATGGGATCGTTCCCGTAGAAGACATGTGCAGAGGTGGTAACTAGAGCCGAGAGTTCGGGAAAACACCGTTGCAGTTTAGACGTCGAGGCCGTTAATCCAAGCAGTGCAAAGACATCATTGTTGAGTGTACGGCAGCGGCATTGTCAGAGATTTGGCACAGGAACGAGCTGTGCACTCGTTCCTGTGCCAAATGATGACATGCCAGGGGAGATTGTCATACTTTTTATATGCAATTTTGAGAGAAGGAACGTAAAGAGAAGCTAACAATTGCGCAGCAACGGTTGCTTAAATCATGGTTGGTGGCGATGAAGATGATTCTCACATCGCAACACTACCAAAAGGCAATCAATTCCCGAGGCACACGCAGCCGAGGCGATGAATGACCTCTCCATATACCCACAACGACCGCACACTCGTCTCCGTCGCCTAATTTCCTTCTTGCCTCTTACGACCACACCACGATGGCACAGTACCGTGACCTATTTGGCGGACCATACCAGCAGCCGGTAAACTTCAACGACGACAACGAGGCAGCGGAGAGATCGGGGCATGCACGCAAGAGCGCTGATGCTGCGACGACACTTAGCTATCCTCAGACGCTTCAGTCTGGAGTTTCAGCCCCGTATGAAGACCATTATGCCGAGGATGGACAGACGACGAGGGCGCAGGAGATCATCTCCCAGTATCGATCAGTTTCATCACCTCATGCACGGGGCAAGAGTGAGGAGGCACCCTTGACTGGCACATCAGGGTCAAACGACACTCCTACCCGGGGACGCAAGCCAAGCGCCGGTGGAGCGAGCTCTTTCTACCCCTTCAATGACGGAGCATCAAATACCCTTACATACTACGATGAGAACTTCAATCATTATTCTACAAGGGACATCAAACGTGATGGTCAGACGGAGCTGAGCGTGGAGGAGGAAGGCGGAGACGCACAGCCATACGGCTATAACCCCAACAGAGAGTCGCAGCACGGACTGACGGCACTCGGTACGCATCTTTTTCCCTCCCCATGACATACCAGCCGGACTCACGCGATTCCCGAATGTACTCCCCGTTAGACTATGTCGACCCAGCACTCCCGCAGCAGAACAAGGGTGCTTTTGGTCGAGTAACGAATTATATGCGCGGGGACGAGCTCCGGTACCCGCTTGAACAGCGGATAGAAAATCGACGGAGGGGCGTAACGAGACAGCGATGGTCCATCGTCGTTCCTATCCTCACCGTTGCGATGATTTCGGTGTTCATCTATGAGCTGGTCCTCAACGCGCACTTTCAAGGCACACCCGTCTCCTTCCACGTGCGCTCCTCCATGCTCCATTCCAGTTCCCTTCCGACTGACCATCCAGCCCACCGTCAACTACATGCTCGGTCCCGGCGGTTCAACACTCATCAACGTCGGCGCGCGCTTCGTCCCATGTATGAAGCTCGTGCCCGAAGTCCCTCCAACAACGCAGCTGGCCTGCATGAATGACACCGCCAACCCCGCCGACCAGATCTGCCCGTTATCGACCGTATGCGGATTTGGCGGGTTCCCGGCGGATGGTGTCCCCAACCAGTGGTTTAGGTTCATACTCCCTATCTTCTTGCATGTGGGGATCATCCACATCCTCTTGAATATGCTCGCTCAGGCAACGTTGTGCACCCTTGTAAGTCGCTATTTTGCCACAGAACTCTCAGCTGACTTGGACGCGTAGGTCGAACGACAAGTCGGCTCAACAGCTTTTATCATCATCTATTTTGCCGCTGGAATATTCGGCAACGTCCTGGGCGGTAACTTTGCCTTGTTAGGCATAACGTCCATGGGCGCATCGGGGGCGATCTTTGGCTGTGTGGCTGCCCAATGGGTAGACCTGTTAACGCATTGGAACCTCGAGGACCGGCCTGGCCGAAGTGTACGTCCCTCTCCTCTCTCATTCCGTACCTCACCTACTGACTTCCTGTAGTTAATCTTCCTCATAATCGAGTTCATCATCGGTTTCGGGCTGGGCTACATCCCCGGAGTGGATAACTTTGCCCATCTCGGCGGGTTCCTCATGGGCCTCCTAACCTGCATCGTCCTCTTCCCCGTCATCTCCGTCACCAGAACGCACATGATCGTCGTCTGGGTCTGCCGGATCCTCGCCATCCCACTCATAATAGTCCTATTCGTCGTGCTCATCCGGAATTTCTACACTACAGACCCGGCGGCTGGATGTGAGTGGTGCAGGTACTTGAGCTGTATCCCTACGAGCGCGAACAATTACTGCCAAGGCACGGGGCTGACGACGGGCAACACGGCCTTCTGATTTCTCACGGACTACTCTCCTGCTCAGTAATGTTTCGATCTACGCTACCTTTGTGCCCTCTTTCCCTCACTCGTACTCGGACCGTACCGCTTGCTATCATTCCCAATTCGTTCCTAGTTTTTGCTCAGCTCTTGCATGTATTGCTGGTAGGATAACCCGCACGGACTTGCTCCTAGTCTCTTATTCCCACGACCGGGCTACACGGTACGTAGTAGTCAACGATAATGATTCATTTATCTCGTGCCCTCCCACCTGCTGTTTTTTTCCGTACACGCCTACCAGTCCTCTTCCATCCTACTCCCACTTTCACCCGCTGCGAAGGAATTATCCTGCGTGCCAGGGACTTCAGGCACGCTCGCTAATACACGCATCACCCCCATAGCGCGAATCAAAAACGGCCTCAGTTCGTTAATCTCCATCGACCCTAGGCCTGTCATCTACGGCGATGCACCCCAGTTCGTCAAATACGCTCAGCAAGGCGAGGGGGAGGCACGTACTCGAAGTTCGGTCTCGTCCACCAAGGCAAGACCTTTTCTTGTCTTTGCTTGCCGGACTTCTCTGATGTCTTTCAGGAGCGATCGGACCCGTTCGGGGGAAGGGACGTCCTCCGGCGCTCTATTCCAAAGTCTAATAAGCAACTTACGCCCCACGCCCGAACGCCCAGCAGAGCACACGCACATATCCAGGAAGACCTTAGCAATCTCCGCGTACCGGAAGGGAAGAGGAGCGAACTCCTCCGGTTTGGACATCTCCTGCTTTAGTTTCTCTTCTAGCCAGTCGGGGTTCAGCCATGATGGAGGGACGAGCGCGCATTTGCCCTGTTGTTTGAGGTACTTGCCGACCCAGAGGGGTAGCTCAATGTTTGCTGTTGCGCGGAAGGGGCCATAAGAACCCTAAAGCGTCCATTAGCGGTTTGTAGAGGGGTAAGGGGTGGGAGTGGACTGGGGACGCACGGATAGAAGACGGATTTTGCCCATTGTGAAATGGGGACGGACGAGGATGTCCGTTTGTTGCAGGGCGATGAACTCTAGTTCTTCTGGAAGGGGACTCAACATCAGCCGGGCTGGGAGTGCCATTATTTCCTGTTGAAGTTGATGGTATGAAAGTAAGAAGCAGACGGGTATAAGATGTAGAAAATGTAATGTTGAAATTCATGTAATACGCGTACACGCGATGAACGCGTCAAAAGGCATGGGCGCTTCTGCACAGCCCCTAACAAAGGGCGCCTTTCGCTGTTCTCCTCCTCCTTTTGTTCACCACCATGTCAGCACCTTCTGAAGATGAGCTGCTCACTACCTCCTGGCTGTTCTCAGAATGGATTGCTGCCTTTGGACCGCTCACTCACGCTCAGAAAGCACTGGACTACTTCTCCCTTTCTATCTTCTGGGACAAACAGAGCACGAACCAGGTCCTACGCATGCAGACGCAGCACGCGCTGGGTCCGGATGGACTGGGAGGGAGCGGGGTGGATGAGGAGAGCGAACTGAGGAAGTTTACCGGGGTTGAATTTGCCGTCGTGCATGGGAGGCCGCCGGGCTTGTGGGTCATACATAAACGGGAACGGTTTTCTCCTGACGAAGGTGGATCGATTCCCTGCTGCATTATTACCAACTGACTTACGTCTATTCCTGTATACAGTCCGACCTCTAGCCGCGTACTTCATTTTGAACAACACAATCTACCCGTCTCCCTCGCTCTACTCCGTCCTCTCCACCTCACTAAGCACGACCCTGCACCACCTGTCCGCCTCTCTCGCCCTCTTGCGCGCCCAGAAGCCGGCTTACAACCCCCGTGTCGGTACTTCCTGGCCCATTGCCCCTCCCCGGGATCCAACACGCAGCCTCGCAGCCGGGCGCAGCAGAGCGGGGAGTGTGATACCCGAAGAAGGTGGAAGCGTCGAGCCCCGGGCGGGAGGGGAGACAGTGGAGAGGAAGAAGGAAGAGGAAGTCGTACCGCTGTGGCATGCGTTCCTCACTGCTTCTTCTTATGCGCAGGCGGCGGCTGTGACGCGGGAGTCGGTGGTCCTTACTCCGGAGGATGAAGACTCGCCTTTGGAAGAGCCTGCAAGAGAGAGAGGAGGGACCAGAGAACGAGAGAGGGAGAGCGCTACTCCTGCCCCTCTACCGACGGGGGGGAAGAGACACTCGAGTGGAGGCAAGGTTAAGAGAAGGAAGAAGAGTCGTGCGCTGTCAGCGATGAATGTTCCGCCAGGTGAGAGGGAGGGGTGGATGGAGAGCCCGCTGAGAGGTGAACTGCCTCTGGCGGAGTGAGCGAAGTGGTGAGGAGAGGCAGCAAGGCATTGGGATGTGGTATGCGTCTGGTTACTTGTTCTGTGTTGAACACTGATTGAGAGTTGTGGACCATTGGAGATCGGCAGGGAATGTATACTAGCAGCACAACATCTAGTTATTCAGTAAAGGCTACTTCGACAACATCTTGCACGGAATATTTCATAGATAGTAAGAGTCATTCTGTCAGCACCAAGAGCGTCAAGAGAGTGATGAGAGTGTTTGATTCTGAAGTGGAGTTATAGCAGCTTGTTGGAGAGTTGAGGACCTAAGCCAGAAGATTGCCTTCCACAAACGGGTTGAAATCAACCATCTTGCTCACCTGTTACATGAAGTATTGTTTCTGTGACACGTCAGTATGCTGACAGAGAAGAAACCTGAACCAACCCACATTTGACATTTTGGTATGGATGCTGTGAAAGGCATCCTCATAATCTTTATATGACATTTCGCCAGAGATAACAGTTGCAGTAGTGCCCGCACCGGGCCTCTTGAAATGAATTTGACGACGACCACTGGCAATCTGCACATACATGTCAGTATTTTGCCAGCATGATCTCCATACAGGCCTACATGAGCATAGTAGATAGGAGTTGGGATGGAGACAGCACGCGTCGCACGAGCAAAGTTGTGCGTGAGAGTAAAGGTGAGATGTTGCAGACTATTCCGGGTAAGGAGGTCGCACATTATCACTTGCATCCAATGCTTACGTGTGGACTGGAAAGCGATTCTCGTCTTTCATTATACACGCGTGCATAGGACGAGAAGTTCCCTTGAGCCCGCCTTGACTGAGAAGGAACCAGTTGACGCTATTCGCCGATTAGGATGAGCAATCCAGAGCCAAGATGGAAAGAACTCACTATGCAGGGTGGACGATATCACTGCATGGACGTCATAGTTGTGCGGACTAGAGAGAGGGAGTACTCACTGGTCCACGATCAATCCAGAAGGCGCATTTCCTAAGAGAATTGTGGTTAAGGACTTGCAATTCGCTATCCTTATTAGCGAACGCACCAGAGCGATCAGCATCTCGCTGATCCACGGGGAAGAATCGGGTATGGTGACGCTTGCCAACCACGACGAACGTAATCGTCGGCGGGGGCATCTTCATCGAAGCAAAGGCTTCTGAGGACATACTTAGTTGTACAGCAGATACAGCAACAGGCGATCTCACCCCTGACGGCAACGATTTCCTGATCGCATACTTCTTGAAACTGCCCTTCGCCGACACCATCTCTGTGCGTGCATTAGATGCAAAATTCTTCGAGGCCCGTTTCTGCTTGCCTGTAGAACAGTACGCGTTGAGGGACGACTGTGCGTTTCTCAATATGTTCCTGATAGAGTTGGAACGCTTTCACAGCATCCTGGACGAGGTAAGTGGGTTGAAGAGAAACACGAACGGCGAAGACGCACCACGACCATCTCACGCAGATCTTGAACGATTTCCACGCGACTAGGTTGAATCCTCACAGTAGCTCTGTATTTCGTCCCCGTCTCGTCGACGCTAGAAACCAACGCAGCAACAGTAGGTTTTTCCGGGTCTCCTGGGCCAGGGTGGCTAGTATCGGCACCTGGTATTGGTCTGAGATCAAATATCGCCCAGAAGCGTCAAACAGACAAACCAAAAATTATCGTCGGTCTCTCACGGAGCCACGCGACAGATTTTACGGAAGGAACGTGGTTTATGCCACCCAACTTGGGGTTCAGCTCAACCTCGTGTTAGACACAGAAACATTTCCCGAACTGTGACCACTTACTCTTTGAGCGTCATCAGTATGCGCAAGCGGCTTCCTGTTGAACAGACTTACTTCATAGCAATATTGGCGCAAATCTGGTCATTCACCTTCACTAACTTGCGATAATCGAGGTGCTAGTTATGGTAACAAACAATCAGGCTACATCTATAAGCAGTCTGCATTCTCACCTGTGTCGTAATACCAACTTCCACATCGCCGAAGTGTTTCAGAGTGTAACTGGGGTCGGTTAGTATGATTGTTCCTCGATTCAAGAACAGTACCAACTAGAGATCGGAGGAACGATCAGTGATCAGGACTAGGCATTCCAGGCCTCCCAGCCTTTCCTGTGCTTCCTTATAAAGTCGGTGTAGCTCCTGAATGATGCTGTGAAAAGATACAAAACAAGGGAAGGGTGGACACTACCTTATACAACGAATGTGCATTGATCATGAAAGTAGGCGCAGCGTCTCGTGGGAGTTCTGAACATGTGTTAGCACAACCAAAAAGAAGAGAGGCAATGCATACTCATGCCTCGACGACGCATGACATCAGAAAGCATATCGCGAACTTGTTTTACTTTCTGAAAGGAGAACAGACTGTCCGGCACTGTGGATACCCATATCCAAGTCTTGACTTCAGCGCCTCTCCAAAATACATCGTCTCTCGTGTTCCAGGTTCCATTCTCAATGCGCTGGGACGGAATAAGACACTCTTCAAGCAGACAGGCGTCGCGTAGAGCACTTACCGCAGTTCTGCCGTTAGCATACAGGATCTCAGGGCTGGGCATCACCCCTGCCGTCAACTTCCTTGGCTCATTAGTGTTGACACTTAGTCCCGCACCCCGCACATAGTCAGAATTGGGGTAATTGAGCTCAGAGATATTGTTCATTATGGCATCCAATCGTTGTTCGGGACGGCTCGCGGTAAAGTTAAGCATAGCGTCGCGGCATCGGGCAGGAAGCTCGTGTTTGAAGAATTGATTCGGTATGATTTGCAGCGTTTCAAGGGGGAACACGATCTTTTCATTGATTCGAACGCAGCACACGGAGGGGAATTTCAGGTTGTACTGATAGACTCTCGAGAAATAGTTCTAAAGACAGTTAGTGTATTACTCCTTAGGGTGTTGCATGACCTACGAGGATGGTTTCGCCCGTATCATCCAATTCGTATTGGTTAGCTCCTTCTCGGATGAAAGACTGTATTGGTCGCGGCGGCAAAGGGTCCTTCCTATGTTCTGAAATGACTTTAACCCCACGAAGATATCTGGTCGCTTCGCGCAACTCTCTGGGCCCAAGATTGACGAGACGTCGCACGTCTTGGAAGTTGAAAAGACCCATTAAGACGTCAAGCACTGGTCGGGGATTCCAGCTGCAAATTTTATCAGTGCTACCGTGCAGGCATGTGAAGCAAACTGTTCACAATTTTCCAGCAGTAGTGTTTACATTGATATACAGCTTGTTGATCGCCGGTCGGACGGATCTGTGCTAGTCAGTACCATGCATATGCTCACATGAGAATACACGGACTGGAATAGACCGAGAAAGAGGGAAATATCATCGCTGATCATGCGTTTCTTGTGAGGAAGATAGTATGATTTGGACGTATGTGGGAGTCTCCTACGTGAAAAGGTCATGAGAGAATATGAATGACTCTTTTCAACATACATCATCGGTGCCTGCCTGAAAATCAGATTGAGCGCGTTGATCGTGTCCACAGCGTCGGGTTGATTGACACGATGGCTTGCAGAGGGATTGCAGTATTCAATCAAACACCTGAATATTGTTAGATCCATTCATAAAGAAAGTAGTTGATAAGCACAGGCCTCGGGTCAAGTGTTTTGACGAGAGTCAAGGTGACGAGGTAGACGCCTCGATTGGGCCTGGCAGGGTCGGGACGGACCGCCATAGGCACGTTGAACTAAGAGATAAGGTATAGTCAACACTGATCCAAAGAATACTATGATGTTGCCCACCCGGGAGACGTGACCAATAGGGAGCTCATGACAGCTGATCATGATTGAACGTCCATCGTAGACCGCACGTCCTTGGGCAAACACACTCGGGGCGATGGTGTTCTGGAGTCGGTCCACAATCTCACGCTGCCGCTCTAACACGCGACCGACGATTTCCGGTTTGATCTCTGGTCCCGCGTCAATCAGAACGTATTAGAATTACTCGATTACTGGTGACTCGCCGACATCATATTGGTACATTTGTTTTGTTGGGAAAGGACTGGACAGGGAGAGATAGTTGGCATACACAGTGATCTGGCGACCGCGATCGCTGGAGGATTGAACGAGTCGTGACTAAACACATCCCATCAATGGTCAAACGAGTCATTCTCAGTGTTGCCCCTGAATCAGTTACCGTCATTTTCAATGTAACAGCGTCGGAAGGTATGAACACGTAGAGGCGACAGACTGTCGACTCCGATGAGATATAAGCAGAGCTTTAGTGAGGGTAAGAGGTGAGTTGAAGGGTATGATAATTGCGAGGCATATAGCCCCACGGAGAAAAGGGGATTGTGGTGAAGACCACTGAGGAAACGCCAGCAAAGCATGCCTTATATGAGGAATCGCGGGACCGAATAGAAGCATGCCCATCTGCTTCCGATCTTGTTCACTTTAGCCGGAACGGACCGACTTGAAGTTCAGAAACATCTGAACAACAGCGTTGTTATATTACTCCACAACTCTTTGCGTTGCAATCCCCGGAGTTCTGAGTTATCTCTAGCCGGACTCAAGAAGCCTATTCTTTTCAATATGTCAATTTCCATCACGGCTCCGACGCGTAAACGAGTAGTAAGCCCCGTGACCATCTTCCGAAGGCTGACATTTGACTGTGCGGATCAAGTGCTACTTCTTTGACGCTGATATTGGAGGATTTCACTATGGACCAAGTCATCCGTATGTCAATTCTCAGGCCCTGGATGTTTGTTGATGGCGTGTGATCATTAGTATGAAGCCAACACGGATAAAAATGTGTCACGCGCTCGTGATGAATTATGGGTTGTATAAGCGAATGGAGATCTTTGTTCGTTCAATATGTTTGCGCGTGGACAATGAATTGACGCCTTTTTCAGCGAGCAAAACCTGCTACGAAGCGGGAAATGACACAATTTCACACTGATGACTACATCGAATTTCTGGGCAAGGCGTCACCCTCAACCGCACACCAGTTTGTCAAAGAACAAGGCAAATGTGAGTTCTTGAAGTAATATCTAAATGCATATAACACTAATATGCCTCGATAGATCAAGTTGGTGTTGACGACTGCCCGATATTTGATGGCCTGTTCGATTACTGCTCAATCTCATCCGGAGGATCAATGGGTACGACCGTTATCTCTGATGCACCGATGGCTACTGACAGGTTCCATAGAAGGAGCGGCTCGTCTAAGTCGGGACAAATGCGACATCGCGATCAATTGGGCCGGCGGACTTCATCATGCCAAGAAAAGCGAAGCAAGCGGGTTCTGCTACGTCAACGGTTTGTCGCTCTCGCGGGACGTCTGTTATCTTACTCAGCAAGTTCCGCAGACATCGTTCTGGGAGTACTCGAGATGCTAAGGTACGGAAATCGATTCAGCTCTCGATTCGTTTTCTGAATCGACCCAGACACTATGAACGCGTGCTATATATTGACATAGATTGTCACCATGGAGATGGGGTTGAAGAGGCGTTCTACACTACTGAGCGCGTCATGACCGTCAGCTTCCACAAGTATGGCGAATACTTCCCTGGGACGGGAGATTTCCGAGTAAGTCCACTTCCCTTTGGCAAACAACCAAGCTCATTACTATCAAGGACGTTGGAGTTGGGAAGGGCAAGGGATATGCTTTGAACTTCCCATTGCGAGATGGCATCACAGACCAAAGTTATCGCAGCGTATTTGAACCCGTGAGTCATCAACCTCTAGTTTGACGCATGACTTGACGTCTATCAGATCATCACTGCCGTGATGGAGCAATACCAACCGCAAGCAATTGTCCTCCAATGTGGGACCGATTCATTAGCGGGTGATAAGTTGGGATGCCTCAACCTATCGATGCGCGGTATGAAAAGCCCTCTGCTTCCGACTCTTTACTGAGCGATGTCTGCAGGTCACGCGAACTGCGTCGCGTTCGTCAAGAAGTTCAATCTTCCCCTTCTCTTGCTGGGCGGTGGTGGCTACACCATGCGCAACGTCTCCCGTTGCTGGGCATACGAGACGGGCCTTGCGACCGGCGTGGAACTAGGCGAGGACATCCCCATGAACGAGTATTATAACTACTTTGGGCCGGATTATAAGCTGGATGTTCGCCCGAGCAATATGGAGGATCTTAATACGCCTTCGTATCTCAACCGCATGCAAGAGATCACGGTCCAGAATCTGAGGGAGCTCGGTGGTCCTCCTGGGATCGGCATACAGGAAGTTCCTAGGGTTCCGATGTTCGACGATATGGACGAAAACGAAGATGAAGATATGGAGAATCCCGATGACCGACGTCCACGTGAGTGATACACATCCAGCACTGTAATGCACATACTGAGCACCTCACAGAACGGCTACGTGATAGAAAACGCATGACCTTATGGGACAGCCAGATGGCTCTGGACGATTCGGATGACGAAGATGAGGGTGGTCGCCGTAACAAGGAAGATAACAAGACGAACGGTGCCATCTAGTAGTTAACCTCCGTATTGCGTAGATCAAGACGTCCGGCAGTCCATTAGTGTCATGTATTATCAGTACAACAGTGTACAACGGAGGCTTGTTATGAGACAACTTGGGCCTGGAGTTCCTCTTCCCTACGTCGCAAGCCTTGTAGCTCCGCCTCTAACGCGACGTTAGCTAGCTCTATTTGCAACAGACTGGAGATCAACTCTGTCCACCGCGTCTCCATCGAGATAAGCTGCTTTCCGATAGCGGTCTGCGAATGGTTCAGCATTCGTCGCCAAGACGAAAGGAAGAGCGCACATGAGAAATCTTCCTCTCCCTGTTGACTTGGGTCACATCCTCCTTTAGTCTCTCAAGCTGCCTCTGGAGCCTGTCCGCATCCGCCTCTCTCCGATAGTTCGCCACTCGCCAAGCGTTCGCGCCATACGTCTGCAGCAGGCTGATATTGCTTTGCCTATTGAGCTGATGCTCTAGTTGTGCCTTGGCGTTGTCGATCGCTTTGATCCATTCTTCTTCTGATGCACCGGCGGGAGGAGCAGGAAGGCCGTAGCGCGACTTGTCTAGCGCTGCTAGTGGCTTGTTGCTTGAGATTCGGTCGAGCTCAGCTTGCAGCATGGGATTTGACTGAAAAACGTTCAAGTAAAGACAAATATGACCAAACAGCGACATACAGCGAACAGGTTCGGCAGTGGTGGTAGCCGGGGATCATCGTCCGGCACAGATGCTCGAGAAGAGGGTAATAACTTTGCAACTTTCTCCTTCAGTTGAGGTTGTAGTTCGAGATCCCGGTCATAGTAAGGCAGATTATCGAGCAATGCGGTATCCATCAATTCAAGAGACATGTTACCCAGCAGATGATTAGGAATGGAGCAATTGTGTGCACGAAAAGGTTGTAGAAACGCGAAGAAGCAAGCGCGCATAACAGCGCCACCGGCTCCGACAGCAGAGCACGAAATCTGGTCATCGTTACTGTAACGTTACGCCATGATCATTGCATTATTCTCTTCTGTCTATTCCCTAATTCTTGCCGCTTACTCGAGTTCCACGAACTTATGCACATCCTGGAAGTATGCCAGCGTTTCGGCTGAGAACCCACTCAGCTTGGCCTGCGACGAAATGCCCCCACTGCATGGAACATATCAGATCGAACGAAGTGGCACATCTGAAGCATATACTGTCTGTTTGTTTTCAGGGACTATGGCTCTTCATATGAATGCTGGCTGCGGCTGCCGGCATTGGCTTCTTGGCTAGCTGTACGATGAACCGTGTGCGACAGTTGCTCAATTCTGACCATATCGGTGGGCTTATGGCATGTGCGTTGTTTGCTAGGCAACAACAGAAGCCCTCTTCGTTCAGCGACGCTCATATGACAGACGAGTGAGAGTAGCATCTGCGTGTTCAGCCTTAGCCCGAATCTGCTCTGTCCAGCCTTAACATGTTACTCGGTCACCTCTCTCTGCTAAGTCTCTGGACAATCGGGACTCTCGCTCTCCCCCCCACAGCTCAACGGCTCCGTGATGCGCACGCAGAGATCCAATTCTCCCCACTTACAGGACGGTCCCAGTTCACCATCCCTACATTCTCGAACCGCCTATCCCAGGCGTTCCACGTCAACTCCTCCGCCCTTCCCCTCATCACCTTCCCACTACAAGACTCGTGGGCCGGGCGACTGCCAATCGACCCCAACCCGGGGGAGACGAAAGATCTTTTCTTCTGGTACTGGCCCAGCTCCGCCCCCGGGGGGAGCAAGACGCTCACTATATGGCTCAACGGCGGTCCGGGATGTTCGAGCCTCGAAGGGTTTTTGGAAGAAAACGGTCCGATCCGGTTCGAGCCTGGTACGCCCAGGCCCGTGCTTAACCCCTATGCGTGGACGAGCGTGTCGGATATGCTATATATTGAGCAGCCTGTCGGGACGGGGTATACGACCGGAATGCCGAATATCACTAATGAGAGCCAGTTGGCAGACCAGTTCTACGGCTTCTTGCAGCAGTTCTGTGCGTCCGGGTCCGGGTCCGGCATCGTTCTGCTTATGCTGACTTTGCGCCAGTCACGGTATTCAGCGAACTGAAGACAAAACAGCTGTACATCGCCGGCGAGTCCTATGCAGGCATGTACATACCGTACATCGCCACCCGGATCGTGGACGCATCCGCAGCAGAGAAAGCCTTGCTACCGCTCTCACTCCAGGGCTTGCTGATCAACGACGGAGTCTACTCGAGCTTGTACGTTCACGTCCTCCCCACCCAACCCAACCTGGCCCCACCGCTAACCTAACCTAACGCCCAGCATCGTCTCCGAGGAAGCGCCCACCGCGCGCTTCGCCGCCGAGTACCAGTCCACGCTCGGCCTCAGCACCTCCCAAGTCCAACTCCTAGCCAACCTCTCCCTCGCATGCGGCTACTCCTCCCTGCTCTCCTCAGCTACCTACCCCGCTCGAGGGCCAATCCCCCTCCCGAACGGGAATAAGGACATCGTCTTCCCGGGGTGTGACGTCTTTGACATATTTTACAATATGGCAGTGGGCGCAAACCCGTGTTTTAACATCTACCGGATTACGGACCAGTGCCCTACACCGGCGGACCCGATAGAATCGTACTTCTCGGTACGTAGCACTGCTCTCCCCGCTCCGGACCGGGACTGGCTAACCCTGCCGCGCACCAGCGGGAGGACGTCCAATTACAGCTACACGTACCCCTCTCCGGAACATGGAACGAATGCACCCCAACCCCAGTCTTCTCTACCCCAACAGGCTCAGACGCAAGCGCCTACAGCAGCCTCCTCTTCCCACACCTGATCTCCCTCCTCCCTCGGGGGGTGACCCTCTGGCACGGGAAGAGGGACTCGATCCTCTTCTCCCTAGGGGATAGGGTGATGATCCAGAACCTGACTTGGGGAGGTGTACAGGGTTTCCAGCAGGAGCCTAGTAGGCCTGTGGTTTGGGAGGGCAAGGTGTGGGGCGTGGGAGGGGAAGAGAGAGGTTTGAGGTATTTGGAAGTCGAGCATGCGGGACGTGAGTCTTTGGCTTTGCTTTGGGAGTAAAGTGCTGATGTTGATGTTCATCAGATATGATCCCCCAGGATCAGCCGGGGTTGGCGTTGCATGTCTTTTCCTCCTTGTTAGGGTTGGCGACGCTTTTCTAGCACTCACAGTTCTACTTACTTGACCCTCGGCGCGCGGGCTCGACGTACGACACTCGACACTCGACGTACGATGCTCAACGCTCAACGCTCGGCGCACAACGCACGCACTACAGTAGCGCCACACAGTACAGTAGCGCCCACGGTACAGACAGTGTAAAGATATATTAACTAGTAATGAAAGGTGTCTGTATATTTTGGAACTCCGTGCTGCGTGCTTCGTGCTCCATTCCCCTTGCCCCTTGCCCCTCCCCATACCCCAGTGCAGCACTCCAAACTCCCTCACCGCACCCTATCCCCGGGCAACAAGCGCCCCCCTCCTCTCCCTCCTCCTCTCATTCCTCTTCTCCTCCTGCACCTTCCTCTTATCCGGCTTCCCCTCCCAAAGGGGGGGGTTGACCCTGTTCTGCTCTCCGTACGTCGGGCTAGGGGAACGGAATACCCCCCCACCGGCCGCACCGGCAGCAGCTCCCCCAAGAGCGTTCCCGCTCGCGGCAGCTCCGCTCCCGCTCCCGGCGCGCCTCTCCTCCACCCTACGCATATGTTCCTCCGCCCTCCTCTGCGCCTTCCTCCTCTCACTAAGATGATCCAGCCTCCCAGGACCATAGGGCGCCAGCTCCAGTCTCCCGTCTTCCCTCTTCCTTTCCTCTAATTCGAGCCTTGCCTGCAGCTTGCGCTCTTTCCTCTGTTCTGCTTCTTGCCTCTCCTGTTCCGGGACAAGCTCCCACCTCCAGACGTCTACCAAGTCCACATGCCCACTCACAGCCCTCGCAGCCCCTAAATCCTCCGCATCCGGAATCTTCCCCGCTCGCTTCGCCCTCCGAGCCAGTTTCTTGGACTTTGCGAGGAGGCGAGCGGTCTCGAGCCCCGAGAGAGGGTGCCGTTGATAGTGGGATTTGCGGATTAAGAGACGGGCGAGGAGTTCGGGGAGGATTGTTAGTTTGAGGTATCTGTGGGGGGGTTAGTGGGGTTTGGGAGGGAGGAGGGGGGAGGGATGCAGGAGCACGAGCGCGAGCACGAGCATGAGCATAAGCACAGGATAAGGCAGGGAAGGCAAGAGGCAGAGAAGGAAGAGAAGAAGTGCAGGCAGGGAAACCCCGCACGGCGCACAGGGAAAAACAGCAGAGAACAAAATACGCACTTTACAGAATGGATCGCATGACCCGGTCTCGGTGCCCCCGGTGGAGAGGGCAAGATCCTCCCTTTTTTCCCCTTGCGTTCCGGTTGTGCCTGAGGCAACGGGAACGGACGTTCGGGGAAGAGGGCTTCGCTTTGTTCCCAGATCTCTTTTGTGCTTAGACCTGGGAGTCCGGCTTTTAGTTTGGGGTTCGGCTTCTCTTCTGTCCCTGCTGGTGCTGCTTCCCCCTCCTCTGCCGCTGTAGTGGTAGCGTTAGCGGCCACGTCAGCCTGCTCCCTGCTATGCAACAAGGCGAGCACGATCTGCTGCGCCGCCTGGGACCTCGTAACCTCACTCAAAAGAGTGACCTTACTCCCGGGCAACGTCGGCAACCTCAACACACTGGCAGGGACGGTGGCAGTAGCGGTGCTAGCGTGGGAATAGGGGTTATGGGCATTTGTAAGTGTGTGATGGAGGATTGTAGCGGGGGTACGACGGGTTGAGTAGGTGCGGATGAGTTTGAGGAAGGGGGGCATTATTGTGTGCTTTGAGGGAGGGGATGTGCTGTGAGGAGAGTGAAAGTAAATATTTGCGGATGTAAAAGTGATTACATAATCTGACACAAGTACTGTTAGCGCTCACTCTCACTCACTCAGTCACGTCACTCACTCGTCACTCACTCGTCACCCACTCCCTCTCACTCTGCACACCCACCCCACTCGTCACCCCGCTCCCTCACTCCCCCCCACTTGACGATGACAGTCTCCGATCCCTACACAAAAATATTAGACAACCCACGATTCACTAACAAGTCACGCAACACTCTACAAGTACAAGACGGTTTAAGAAAATTAAGAAGGCAGATACTCATAGATGGCATCCCAGAGGTGCGCCCATCCCATCCCTCCCATCCTACTCCCTCACTCCCTCTAACCCCACCACCACCACAGGAAATAGCCCCCCTCCGGCGTCCCGCCATCTGGAAACTATTCCTCAACATAAAGCATCTCTCTCCAGAACAGTACTTGTCTTACGTCTCCCTCGGTCCATGCTCTGTCAGGGAAAAGATCAGGAATGACACCTTCAGGACCTTGGCCACGGATAAGGGGTTCAAGAACCGCGTGAGGGAGGATATGCTCGTCCGCTTACTAGACGCGTTCGTTTGGTCCACCAGCAGCTCATCCCTGGGATCCTCCCCCACTTCCCCAACATCAACTTTCACTTCCGCACACTCCGCATGGGACCACCCCGACCAACCCAGCTTCACCTACGTCCAGGGGATGAACGTCCTCGCCGCTCCCTTCCTGTACGTCCTCCCCAGTGAGCTAGAAGCGTTTGCCTGTTTCAGGAAATTCATCGCCCTTTCCTGCCCGCTCTACGTCACTCCCACGCTGGAAGGCGTACATAGGGGGCTGAGGCTGTTGGATAGGTGTTTGAAGATCCTTGATCCGGAACTGTTTGGGTTTTTGAGAGGGAAGAAATTGGGTGCTGAGATATATGCTTTTCCTTGTACGTCCCTCCCACCGCCTGCTAAGCCCGCTACCCGCTAACCCGTTCCCCGGGGTACGCACAGCCGTCCTAACCCTCTGCGCCTGTACACCCCCCCTACCCGAAGTACTCCATCTCTGGGACTTCCTCCTCTCCTCCGGCCTACACCTCAACATCCTCTGCGTCATAGCCCAGATCCTCCTCATCCGCTCTGAGATCCTCGCTTCCCCAAGCCCGATGAGGCTGCTCCGGACGTTCCCGCCGTTGAGGGCGAGGAAGGTTATTGCGCTTGCGGTGATGATGCTGAGGGACTTGCCGGAGGGGGTGTATGAGGAGCTGGTGAGACATCCTTGGGAGAGGTGTTGAGCGCGGCGCGGGGGGGATATGCTGATGCCGAGGACGATGGTGATGGCGTCGCCGATGGTGATGCCGATGTTGTACAACACCCGCACATACACGCTACAAAACGCTACTATAACTACAGGACTGCTTCTGCTTCATGTGCTTCTGCTTCATGTGCTTCATAGTCCAGAGTGGGAGAGGCAGAAGGCGAGGGAGTGTGAGAGGGCGAGGGCCAGGGAGAGGAAGAAGAAGGAGGAGGGGAGAGGGAGAGAGTATATACGGTAGCTCTTTGTCTTTGTCTCTGTAGCTGTTTAGCTGTTTCTCACTTTCTCGTTTGTCATTTGTCAGTTTGTGCTCTAGGCCTTGTAGCCCTTTTCCAATTCCAATCCCCGTTTTTTTCAGATTACAGTAATGCGGATGTGATCGTACGAGGCAGTGAGCGCTTGCTGTACTTTTCGCTTTCGATACCCAGCCAGTCAGGTAGCCAGCCAGGAAGGCAGCGAGCGAGCAAACCCCGCTGATGCGTTCTAGAAATAGACGCATGATCATAATATAGAAATCGACAGTTGTAGGAATACACTCCTTTCCCCCAGCGTCCGCGTCCGCGTCCACGCCCACGCCCACGTAACGCTCGACTCCCAGCTGCACCCAACTCGCGCTCACACTCTCGCGCCGCTGACGCGCCCCGCCCGCCCCGTTAGCGGTCAACGCCCCCCCTGGTTCCAACTCAACAAACTCATGTCCCCCAACCTCCTCGGTTTTACACAATGCCAACCAAGCCCCACCAGTGCCAGGGCTACAAAGAGCGCTGCGGTGCCGACGTATGCCCAGCCTAGGAAGGAGTTTTTCCCTCCGACCCAGGAGACGGTGCTGATTACGATTGACTTTGTACCGCCGAACATCTCTACTGGGAAGTCTGGAAGGGGGTCAGCGACGTGTTGGGAGAGGAGGGAGAGAAGGTGGGAAGCGAAGAGGGACGCACTCATTCCTACTACGACCTGATACCGGCCTTTTGGCAACACAGAGGAATCGTTCCTCCCATACAGCTTGGTAAACGTCGGCAAGCCAGCAGTGCGCATCCACACCTGGAAATGCTCGTCCGCCTGCAAATCGGGGAAACTGCTCGCGTTGTACCTATCTCCGTACTTTGCGTGCCAGTTTGGCGGGGGGGACACGAGGGAGAGGTTCGCGTACCCAGGGTTGGAGACGTACTTCTTCGCTTCGCCAGGCCAGGCGATCCCGCTGCTTGTAAAGTTGTAAACCTCTGTGCCGGCAGAAACGGGGGTGAAGTTCCCGATCGTGTCGTTATATATGCTGTTGGCGATCAGCCCACACGGGTAGATCGGGATCCCGTTGATCGAGTCCAAGGGGGAACAGTTGCCCTTGCTCAGTGCGTTCGCATCGGGCGCTTTGCCCTGCAGCTGGTTGCTGTCGAGGGACTTGACGTACCGCCTGTGGTTCTGGAAGAAGTTTGTAAGTTTGTAGTAGACGAACACGCTTGGGCCCATATCTGCCGGCACGTCGAACTGGATCGTGCATGTTCCTTGCTCTCCCTCTGCGCCTTGCGGCGCAGGGACGAAAGACCATTGGGGAGGGCTGAAGGACGCGCCTGCGTCTGCTGAGCGGAGCTTGTACGTGAAGCTCGGGAGGCTGCTGAACGACGAGCTGGCGGTATCGCATTGCGTATAGTCTAGCGTGAGCTCGGTGATGAGGTTTGAACCCCAGATGAGCAGCCCGCCGATGGGGGCGAAGATGAGGCCTATGATGAAGAGTGTTGGGAGGACGGTGCGTGGGGTGAGGATTGGCTGCCAGGCTTTCAGCCGTTGTTGTTTGAATGCGGTGTCTGTGAGCAGAGGGTGAGTGGGTGCTGAGGATGTGAGGGACGTAGCGCACTTGCTGGTCTGCGCCAGTTTCCCTTCTTCTCTTTGCCCTGATCGTCCACTTCCCCATTGCTCTCCTGCTGCTGTTTCTTTTTCCTATTCCAAACTGCCATCCCACTTGTTTGTAGATTGTTGTCCTAGACGTTACAGAAGATGGTCGAGGAGGAGAAGGATGTAACAGTGGAAGTGTAATGAGCGGTGCTGAACTGCCGTTGACCTTTGTTTCCGCAGTCAAGGTCGGCAGTGTCATCGGAATTATGTAATCACTTTAACGCCACTCTCTTATGACTAGATTTCACCTCAACATTTAATCGTTATTATTATCATGTCAATGGACATATTCAACCGTAGTCCATCTATCAGCGACGACACTCTTCGTTACTCTCTTCACTTTCCAACCTCAAAGTCTACAGAAAGCGAGCTCAGCACTCTCACAGCCCTTATACTGGAACATGTCGACCGCTTACTCCCACCAGACTTTCTCTGGCACCGCGACGCCTTCGAGCTCCGTCTCGCAGGTACACAAGCAAAGGGAAAGGGGAAAACTCGAGAAGGAGATGTGAAAGAAGGAGACGCCTGGTTGGAAGGGACCATGCGTGTCGGGGACGCGGTGGACGACGAGTGGGCCGTCGTGTGGCTTCTGAGGGAGGTCAGTACCGCTTGGGACTGTATAATCAGGTGCGTGGCTGACGACGACCTTTTCCCACAAAGCATGCTGATGTGTAGCAGTGTGATGGACTCGGACGGCCAATTCCTGCTCATCGAGGCTGCTGACTCTCTCCCGGGGTGGGTGACGCCCTCTAATAGCGAGAACCGTGTGTGGATCTACCGCTCTCAGCTGCATCTGGTTCCCTTGTCTTATGTATCTCCGGCATCTTCTCGTTCGGCAAGGAGCCGCTTAGATGCTGGAAGTGACGACGAGCTCGATCTCGAGGATGCAGATACTTGGATTTCCGTGCCCGACGCGCTCCGGTTGGTGAGGGACGACAACGTGCCCACGCTCGCTCCGCCCAGCGTACAAAATGCTCTCCAGTCCCGTCTAGCGCGCTATCCCTCCGCACTCGCACACCACACACACCACGCATTCGCCTTCCTACCTGTCCCCATCGCTCAAGCTTTATCCCGTTCCCCCTCGCTCATCCAACGCGCCTCCGAAGCCTTCTACACGCGTGACGCGCTCCAACTCCGCTCAGCGCACAAGATGTCCCGCTTTCCTCCCTCTCCCTCCCTACTCTCCAAAGTGAGCATGACCCGGGTCGCCTACGCCCAACTGCGTGGTCAGCGCTGGACGCCTCCTCGGGTTTTCGGCCCTTCCCCCAAAGGGGCAAGAGAACGCCACTGGTGGGAACTAGGCGCTATGCTCTCCGCGGGGTTCGAGATGCTCTACCAAGAAACTCGGGCTCGGCAGGCGCTGTCTGGGCAGTCGAGGGAGGCGAAGCTGGAGGCTCTGCAGCGGGACACGGGGTGGGAGGGGTATGTCCAGGGCTTGCAGAAGGCGGGATTTTTTAGTCAGGAAGTCAGAGGTAGCCAGCTATGGAAGGAGAAGGAAGATAAGGCCGTGCAGGCGTATGTCAGTGCTCGTGTTTCAGAGTAAGTGCATCATCTACCGCTAAGGGTTACTGTTGATTGCGTATAGGGACGCGACAAGGCCGTCATTCGCTTCGCTTGTGGAGAACGCCCTGGTCCCTCCGTTACCGGATGAAGACGCGATTAGAGTCTCTCCCCAATCGCAGGAGGACGACGACAGTTGGCTCTCAGTCAGGCCTCAGCAGCTCGGGTCCCTCCTGACCCAACTCCCGGGGAATCCCGCTCCCTCAAGCATGAGCCCACCGCGCTCTGAGCCGAAGATCCACGAACTGAACGACGTGGATATGGATGAGGAGGAAGAACGGCTTGCCCACAAGGAAGCCGAGAGGCTCAGGGACATGGCGCGCAAGGTGGAGGGGTTTGTCCAGGGAGAGGGAGAATTGGAAGGAGCGACATTCCCCGAGTAAGCATTTCCAGGTATACTGCCTTCACAGCCTGAGAGTTTGTAGTGATATCCTGGACGACGACATGCCGGACTCTGATGACGAGTCGGATGTGGAGATGGAGCCTCCCCCGACGGAAGAACAGCTACAAAAAGCGATGGACACGCTTGTCCGTCCTCTTGCAGCAGGAGAATACGGCAAGATGCCCGAAGACTGGAATCATGCCAAGAATATGACAGATCCTGCGCTCGCTGAGACTGAAGCGAAGATGTCTGCTCCCAAGCCGGGGGAAGGTGTCCCTGCTACTGGAAAGGGGAAAGGCAAGGAACTGGTACGGGACGAACCGCTCGAGCCGCTCGATATGACCCTTGGACATCGGGCCCCGCTCTTCGAGCGCGAGACGTACGAAGGTCATTCCTCTGATTCGGACTTGGACCCTGCAGGCCAAGGGCTCTCAGACGAAGAGTCTGGGGAAGACGCGCCCCAGGTCGTGGATGAGGAAGTGGAGGTAGAGCCGGATATGCAGGCTGAGGAAGAAGAGTTCTTGCAGTTTGCACGGAGGGAGTTGGGGATTAACGATGTTAGCTGGGGGGAGATCGTCAGGCAGCGTGAGGGGGAGGGGAGGTTCGTACCCCGATCTACGGGGACGAAGGAACAACCGCAAGAGAGGGAAACGTTTGGTCCGGAACTGCTCAAGCCGAAGACGAAGGGACAGCCGAAGAGGTCGGCAGGCGCGAAGGATAAGGCCTCGGAGAAAGCCGTTCGGTGGACGGACGCGACCCCTGCGCCTATGCCTGCGGATCGCACGCCTAGACAGCGGAGAGAAGGTGGACCACGACCGAAGGCGAACCCGATTCTAGACTCGTTTGAACGTGTTATGGACGCTATGGAAGCGGAGCTCGCTAAGGCCCGAGCGCAGGGGAAGGGGAAGTCAAAACCCGCTTCAAGGCCAAATGCGGACGTGAAAGGAAAGGGCAAGGCGCGCCCTGAGCCGGAAGTTGAGAGCGACGAAGACGAAGACGCGATGCTCCAAGCGATGGATGCTGAGCTGCGCTCTTCCCTTAAACAAGCCGAAGAGGATACAGATGCAGATGATGAGACCCCCATGGACTACAACCTTATCAAGAACTTCTTGGAGAGCTTCAAGAGTCAGGCAGGGCTTGCGGGACCTGTGTCAGGGATGGTGGGGCGGCTGGAGAAGGGATGGGTGTGGCCAAGAGATGAGAAGGAGTAGAGTGGAACTGTTGTTGTATGTGCGGGTTTCATGTGATATACTGGTTCTTATGAGTTGCGCCAGTGAGATTGTTAGTAATGTATACCGCATTTTGTCCCGTATTTTGGTGAAACGTCGCTTCTGTCCTCTCCTGCGAACCGTAAGCTGCATCACGAGCCACGTCCACCTGTTATTTGGTGCTTCGATGCCGATCGTTCTCAAGCCGAGGACATCAATATGTGGTTTACGACATGAAGAAGAAAAATGACAGGTTGGCTGGCTCGACACTGGCCTGAAATTTCCTCGTTACGATGGTGATCACTCACATCCTTCCAAGTAGTGTGTCTCTGCCAAGCAGTCAATACAAACAGGGTTTACAAGGCCAAGGGATGTCAAGAAATCCAGAAGATAAATTATGGTAAGAGACAACTAGTTTTCCGAAGGTGCATCCCTCTCATCGCTGCTGTATCCAGGGTGACAACGGTCCATCACTCACCGGCCCTAAGCCACCAACGAAAAACAATGGGTCCGCTTTTCCGCTCTACCTCTATCAGCACGAACCATGGCTCGTGCACTCCAAAAATCCTACATAATCGCCCCTGGCGCGCACTCAACTTGTCCCCTCGTCCCTCGTCTCATCCCCACCCCACCCCACGCCCTTCACACCCTGAGGCACATGCCACATACGGATTGATAACAGCGCACCTCCCCTACATCGCCCCGGGGGAGGGTGGAAGGCACAACGGTTGGGCGCTAAACACGTATGCACAATATATAAGGGGCGATATGAGCGCCTCCCCTTCGTTCCCCGGGGGAGGGTGGCAGGATGGGAGGTCGCGCTCTTCTTTGCCAGGGGAGCGTATTGGGTCGATCAGCATGGGCTGGTCGACCAACCGGTACCTGTCCGTCTCGGACTGATCCCCCGAGGCGGGCAGGTCCCGTTAACCCAATTTTTTATAAGTGGATCTCATTGACGTGTTCTGGCTAGTTATTGATGTTTGCACAGGCCGCCTCTGCTTTGCCGCTCATGGTGGGAGATGCGATTCCTCCCTCAAGATACCATGTCGGCGCTTTGGGTGTGCCTGCCCTCTTCAACCGTACGTTCTCATTCTTCTCCACATTCC